TGCTGTGCTAGTGCTGCGCTGCGCTATGCTGCGCTGCGCTAAGCGAAGCTAAGGTAAGCAAAGCTATGCTAAGCTAGGCTAGGCTAAGCTAAGCTAGGCTAAGTTAAGCTGAGCTAAGCTATCATGAGATAAGCTATGCTATGCTAAGCTCAGCTAAGCTAAGCTATGCTAGGCAAAGCAAAGCTAAGCTAAGCTAAGCTAAGATGAGACAAGCTAAGCAAATCTAAGCTAAGCTAAGCTTAGCTAAACTGGGTGAACACAAGGGTCGCAACTGGGGGAACCGCGGGGCGGATGCCGGGGGAACCGCCCGGGGCGCTTTACACTGCCCGGCCCTTCAAGCACAGAGAGTAAGAACCCTTCTAGGCAGAGCCCAGGTAGGGAATTATGTGACATACGCATTTCGCGGTGGAAATGCTTGCTGCTCACGCACGCACATGTTTCCTGAATTAGCTGACTGTTCTTTGTTTTGGGGGGGAATTCCGTCCGACCCGCTGTGTGTTACAACAAGTTATTGTTCAGGGTGTGCTTCGTGATTGGCACGATGTGGTTTGTCAGCTTGCTCACCATACCTGTATCCACCAATACATTATACATGAAGGGATTCAACGTTCGATTCAGCACACCTTTCTGTATATCCTTCGCATCGTCCTCCGAGCTCTGCTACATTCGTTTCATCGCTTCTCTCTATCATTATGTGACCTCTTCGCACTCAAGCTGCTTGCGTGATCACAAACAACTGCTCCTGCATTGTTTTTTTTTTTTTTTTGCAGACGTGTGATGACCCCGGTGGCGGCCTTACTTCATAATCTTTGGATCAGCGACCTTACAAAGGAGCTAGCGCAATGCAGCTTCACAACAAATCTTCTGTGCAGACCCCCACATCAGATCCATGGAATCCTTTTTGTAGCACCCCTTGCAAGCATGATTCGCGGTTGCTGCGAACCTTTAGCGCGGGGGATCTGCAGCGCCCGCCGCAAAATATGTTTGTAGCGGCGGTCTCGCAAGAGGGTTTCAAAGTGCGGGAGCCCTGCAGCGGCGGAGCCTTGAACCCAAGAGGGCTCGAGAGGAAATCAAACACAGCATATGACAAGCGCGAGACACAATACTGTCACGGGGAAAAGCAGGAACACCTCTTGTCGTCGCAATTCTTATTGCGCAGGTGCAACACAACGGAAGTCGTTGTATAGCATCCTTTTCAACATATTCCTCGTGTGACCACGTTCCACACGGATTTTAATTGTGGTGCGTCTGCAGTGGCCGCCGCAAGTGGAACCAATGTGTTGCAGCCTTCCCACAAGGATTTGTTTGTGTTGCTATCTGGCAGAAACATTGTATGTGTGGTGGTATGCGAAGGCCTCCAGCGTTGAAGCTCTTTCGAAGCAGTTCGCGCACAAGTTGAACGGCGGTCTTGGAAAAGAAATCCCGCTGCGCAAGCTGCTACAACAAATCTGTAAGTCTGGAAGCGACTGCAAATCGGCCGCAGGTGCAATCTTGTCTGATGAAATCGCCACACAAATCACCTGTTCGTAAAGGCTGCTGCAAAAGGATTTCAAATGTAGCGGCCACTGCAGATGCACCACATGTCAAACCTTTTTCGGACGGTCGCCACAGAAGGAATCCGTGTTGTAAGGGCTGCTACAACGTATTTCAAGCGTCGGGGATCTGAAACGTAAAAATAGCGAGAGTCACCGGTGTTCCTAGTTTTTCCATACGTTCGAAATTGAAAACATGGTTTTATGGTGCTTCGTGGTTTCCCAGTAAAGCCTCCGCGGCCCCATGGAACCGCCACTGAGATCTCCGCGGGGCCGCGGGGAAGCGTGCCAGGAAAACAAGAACAGCATGAGACACGATGAATCCTAAAGATAGGAAATCGGATAGAGCTAGAACCGGCACCACCCCGAGGAGGAGACAGAGGACCGGAAGAATCGAAGAGGGAGGAAGCCACAGAGCCGCGAAGATCACCGAATCCGGAACCCCCCGGATCGGCGGCACTGGACGGAGGCAATTACAATCGGACGGAGCTAGCTTTATGGCGCAGGTACCCCACAGCGGAAATCCTTATGTAGCAGCCCTTGCAAGAAGGATTCCTTGTGTGGCGGCCCTCCCGCAAGGAGTCAAGTCCGCCACACTCGAAACACTTCTGCAGCATCCGATCCACTAGTACACGTCGTTCAATCCTGATCGTGCTCTTTTTTTGCCGTGGCAATGCTTCGCGGCGCAACGGCTGCACGCGAGCTGTAACGGCAGGCAGCCACTAGACCACCCCGACAAAGCAGCGCACCTCCTCGAAGATGCGCACGCCGTCCTTGGCGCCGACGCTGGTGTCCACCTCGGACTCCAAATTCATGCCAACGCCCTCGACTCCTTGACCGCCACCTCGAGGCTGCTCCATATGCATCTCCTGCAGCAGCGACACGCACTCGCACGGCTCGAAGAACTTCACGATCGCCCCGCGCCACGCGTCGACATCGTCCTGCGGAGCTGCCACCTCCACAGCCTCCTTCGCGGTCTGCTGGTGGCCGCCCCTCTCGGCCAGCCGCCAGCCTGCTGCCAAACCGTGCGCGAAGGCCCTTGCCTCCGCTCGCTGGTCGGCCTCCTGCCAAACGCCTGGCGCCAGCCCGCCTCCGCCGTTGAGCACGGTGCCCTCCGACGCCATGTGGTTGACGCTCTGTGAGTCGTCGTCGCCGTCCAACTCGTCCTCGCTGCCGACCTCCGTGCCAGCAAACTTGCCCACTCCGACGCCGTCCTCCGACGCCTCCTGGATGGGCCCATCATCGTCATCATCGTCCTCCTTCCTCCGCCCCCGCTGCCGCCAAGGAGCCCTGGAAAGAGAACACGCCAGGTTGAGCAACTTCGGCTCGAGCTCGGCGACGTGGATGACCTTCCCCTCGACCCCGAGCCACTTGCTGCCCCTCCTGGTGTCGGGCTTCAGCTTCGCCTTCCAGTCCACGCTGAGCGACACCAGTGCCCGCTTCCCTTGCTCACTCTCGCGCTCGACAGCCTCAGCGAAGCCGCGCACGTCGCAGTTCCCGTGCTCGGCCTCCTCCGCCTCGAGCTGAAAGCCCAGGCGGGGTCCCTGCGCCACCTCCGCGATCTCCTCGGCGGTCGCCCTGAGGAAGCCGCTCGGAGGGGCCCAGGCTGCGTGGATAGCCGCGTTGCGGCGCCGGCGCGATGCGCCCGCCACACGCCGGCCCTCCACCGCGCCCAAGGCGGGCCTGGCCGCCCGCTCGCGGTCCTGCCATGACCCCGGCTTGCAGGGGCCCGCCACGGCATGGCACCAGGCCTCCAGCGCCCTCAAGCGCCGCCGCCTGGCCGCCCGTCTCGCCGCAGAGGGGCCCAACACCAGGTTCTCCTGCTGCCTGAGCGCCTTGGGCTGCCAGCAGGCTGGCAGCCCCCCGCAGCCGTTGCGCCCCGCCGCCCAGGCCGCCGCCATCGCAGGAGGCACGCCGCCGCGGAGGACCCAGCTTCCCGCCTGAGCAGTGCGTCGAGCGCAGCCCCCTCGCCCGAGGCGCGGCCGCTGGAGGCTTGAGCCAAAATGGCTACGGCTAATCGTGCTCATTTCAAATTGTGTTCGTTTCTACTTGTTCCTGGCTCCCCAGTGGCCAGGAAGGAGCCCAGGATAGAGCAATTAAAATTGAAAGGATCTTGCCCCCCCAAATCAAAGAACTTTCGAATACTTAGAAATGAACAGTGTATATTCTTTATGTGGCGATCTTACAAAAGGATTTTAACTGCAGTGGCTCTGTAGCCGCCTCCAAAATGACTTATCATATTGAAGCAGCCTGCGCAAAGGGCTTACTTTTGTAAGACCGCCACAGAGAGATCCTTTTTTTGCACAAGCTGCTACACAAAGATTTCAATGCTGGAGGCCAGTGCAGACCCACCACATTTGAAACCTGGTATAAGATCGCGACAACAGACATCCGTTGGTAATGGCTGCTACCCAAGGGTGTCACTTGTGGCGGTCACTGCAAACGCACCATAGGTAAAATCCTTGTGGCAGATCGCCGCAACCGGAATCTGGTGGTGCAGTGGCTGCTACAGCTATCTGACACATAAAAAAATAGCGAGGGGTACAGGTGTTCCTAGCTGCCAGGTGAAAACACATGGTTGTGAATATTGTGTTGATTGTTTTGTCGGGTGTCCTCTCTATCTTTCCTGGGCTCGAAGCGTTACCGCTGCAGATCCCCCGCGTTGGAAATCCTGCTGCAAGAGAGCCGCACAAGACATCCACGTGCACAAGCCGCTACAAACAAAGGTCTTGCGGAAGCCACTGCAAAGACCCCCCCCCCCATACTATACATATTTTTCATATGGCCGCCACACAAAGAATCCGTGTGCGAAGGTTGCTGTACAATGATTTCGAGTGTGGCGGCCACTGCAGATGCCCTACAACTGAAGCGCGTTTGGAACACCGCCACATCATGGTTCCTTTTGCAGGGCTGCTACAACAGAATTGCAACCGTGGGGGATCTGCGCCTCTCGTCACCAGTGTTCCTCACGTGTTCTTGCTTCCCATGTGGAAACGCATGGCTTTGTCGTTTTATTTGTCCTGCTTGCCTGGCAAGCTTCCCCGCGGCCCCACGGCACTGCCTCCGGAAAACCCTTACACACCAGATCGCTGTGCACATGGAATGCGAATCTATTCTATCTGTGGTGTCTACAAATTGAAATTGATCGTGGTACTCTTCAATTTTGCTTCGACTGTGAAAAGATCTCAATGGCGGCGCTGCGGAACATCGGGCAACCGAAATCATGCTGCACATGTGCCGTTACGTTAATCAATGCGTGAGTGTCTGCAACATTATATATGATGTGAGCGTGCGGAACAAATACACATGTAGTTAGCAGACTACATCAGCTGGTTGAAATCGCACATACAGCGAGACCTACGGGCAAATATTATTGCTCCCTTGTGTGAGCACTACAACTAGTTGCGGTTGTTACTATTCGACGCCTGGGTCTGGACTGCGCACGCTTATGTTGCCCACGCCAGGAGCCCCCCTCCATCGCCCCCATCGCACAGAACGTGTGACTCTGCCTGGTGGAGCGCCGGGCACGCCGGAGCGACGCATTACCTGGCAGCGTGCCGCAGGCACACGGCGATCTTGCGGGTCCCCTCGGGCGCCTCGCGTCTCCGTGAGCTCCCGGTGCCGGGGCTCTCCGACGCGAGCACGGGGCGGGGGCACGCCCTGCGCCTACAGCGGCGCGCCGGCTCCTATAGCTCAGCCAGCGGGCGGGCGGCCGGGCATCTCGAGGGGGAACGATGGGTCAGGGGGCAGCCTCAGCGCGCTGGGCGGCGAGCCCCGCGGGGGGAGTGGCGGGGGGCGGGCCTCCCTTCTCAGAAGGCTCGGAGGGCCTCGGGGCCTCTCCCGAGGCAGGGAAGGGCTTCCTGGGGAGGCCTGGAGGACAGATCTAGGAACCCATGGTCTGGTTAGGGGGCCACATGCGAACCCTACCCCCCCCCCCCCCCGCGATTTCTGAGGGGGGGGGTGGGGTTCTCTTCGCTCGGGAGCTCCCGAACGAAGTGAACCCCATCCTCCTCCCCCTCAGAAATCGTGGGGGGTAGGGGTAGGGCTCGCATGTGGCCCCCTGCTGGTTGCTCGTTTCCCCAGCGGCAGCTGCATTCGGAAGGGCCGCACGGTATCTAAAATTCCTCCCAGAACCATCTCTGTGTGCCTTACGGCGCTTTCCTCAGGAACACGAGGTACGAGTGGATATCTCTCTGGCTCAGGGGCCTCAGGGGCTTCTGAGAGGCCCCTCGGCGGTGGGCAAACCTCCCTTAAAAAACCTCCCTCTGGTGAAGACGGCCCAAGACCGAAACCGACGGACCTGGACCCGCAAAACTGACGGCCGCGACGCCCTCTCGCGAACCGAAAACGGCCAATTCGCTCATCGACGTGTCCTCCGAGCCCCGCAGCCTTCTGAGGAAGCCTGCTCCCTCTCACTCCCCGCCCGGGCGCGCCGCTGGGACCCCCAGCTCTTCGCCTCGCGCCCCGCCCAGGTCGGGCGTGTCCCCCTGCAGGCGAACGTTGGGCGAAATATGAGAAACACTGGAAACATATGCCAAAATAATAACAATATGCTAAAAAGAGTCTCCGTACGATGTTTTGACTATTTCTGAATTTTCCTCCTGTAGAGGGACAGGCCCGACTCAACGCTCCGCGCTGCGCGACGAGCGGTTGTTTCTCCTCGCGCCCTCGCGCCGTCCCCTCGGAGGAGGGCAGCCGCTCTTGCTGAGCCAGCTTTCCACCACCACCACCAGAAGTTGGAAGGGGGGAAGGAGGTGGCGGACGAGGAGGAGGAGGAGGAGAAGGAGGACGAGGAGGAGGAGGAGGAGGAGGAGGAGGAGGAGGAGGACCGAGGACCCCCTCCCCCTCCAACTCATGGTGGTGGTGATGGTGGAAAACGGGCCCGTCAGCGCTGGCCCACACCGAGGCGCGCGAGGCGCGATTGCCTTCGTGCCCCCGAGGGTGCCCCGGCATCGGGGGGGCCTGGCTCCGGGGGGGGGCATCGCCGAGCCGCAGGCGGCGATGCATCGCCGAGAGATCGGCGGCAGGCCCTCGATCACGAGACCGCGCGCTCCTGGGGCCGGCTCTGTCGGGCCCCCTACATCGGCGGTGAGAAGTGCGATTGGGGGGGCCGATGCGCTTCCCCGGAGCCCACCTCCGCCGATCGTTGCCCCCGATCCTCAAACGACGCCGTGTGCGGCGGTGTGCGCACGCACGGCAGACTCGTGCCGTGGCGACCTCGGCGTTGGCTCATGACACCGCGCCTGAAGCGCTCAACCGTGAACGATCACGGCCATCCGATCCCTGGCGCCCTTCCACGCCAGCCGACTCCGGCCCACGGGCGGCATTCAACCTCGAGCGCCCGCGACGGGGCATGGTCGCCGCGTCGACGCGGCGCGAACCTGCCGCATGTCCTCCACGTGCAGCGGCGTGCATGTGTGTGCGTACAGAGTACGCGCCGCCCCACTGCACAGCACCTGTATAAAGAATATGCGCCGCCCCCATGCATAGAAGCACCGGGGCCGACCATTCGCTCTCGGGCTGTGATGTCCTCGGCGGCCTGCATCAATCTGGGGAGCCCACTTGCTAGGGCGCACAACCTCGGGCTTAGACCACCTGACGCCAGCCGCGAAGGCGCAAGACACCTGGACACGCAGGCGCTAGCGTGCACGCACTGTTTTGCTGTCGTTCGAGTGCGCAGGAGCGCCTTACCCTGCGGGGAGCTCACTCTCCCAGGCCGGGGGGCAGGAAGGGGCCAACACCCTGAGCCATCAGCTCTGACCGCCCAGGCTAAAGGCTAACAGAAGGCCAACAAAAGGCTAACCCGCACTCCCGACACGCTAGTTTGAGGCCGCTGCAGGGACTGGTCGGACATTGCCCACGGAGGCAGTCTTGCCGCTGAGGCAGTGCCGGGGATGGAGCAGGGACTCCTATGGAAGAAGAAAGAGCGGCATAATCATGAACTGTTGGCGCTCCGCGCGGACTTCTTGGATCTGTGCTGGACGACACTCCCTGGCGCGCGGAGCGCGCCAGGGGCGGCGGAAGGGGGGAGGAGAGTTGTGTTGTTCCCGTCGCACTTAAGGACCACATCCCAGCAATAACTTCGAGCACCCAGACAAGTGCCTAAACAATGTCGAAAGAATATCGCCTCCCAGGGCCCGACACGTGAAAAACCTCCAGTTTCGGTACTTTCTTGGTGCTCGAAATTATTTCTGGTGGTCGATGCTGAAGTAGGTTGGAACATATAAGAGAAGAGATGGACTGGGTCGGGGAAGCGTGGGCAGGGGTGGTGGGTGGCATCGGGCAACCCGAACCTGGTGATGCATTTTGCAGCGTGTGCGAGAAGCCCGAATGAGCAGTACGCATCACAGTCCAAGCTGTGTGTGACTTCATGGGGGACAGCACTCTGGGAAAGATCTGGCCTTGTGTGTTGCCGAAACCAGAAGTTTTATACATATGTGTATATATGTATGTATGTGTATATATATATATATACTGGGCATTTTTCTGAGGGTGGAGGGCTCAGGGTGATATCCAGCTGGGCTACTGCACCTTAAAAACAATTCCGTCTTGTGATTCACTGCATATTCAAGCCTCGAACATCCATCGAAACAGCACTTCAAATTTCACCCTTTGCCCTCCACCCAAAAACATGATCGGATGTACCTATATATATATATATATAAATAGATATATATATATATATATATGTATATACGTAGAGAGGGGGAGAGAGAGAAAGAGTGAGAGAGAGAGAGAACAAAACATATCCCAGCGCGACCCTACCTAGGAGTTGGAGCCTCTAGGAAAGCAGCATTCCTAGGAGCGGTAAACGCCGTCCTCCTCCTTCTCCTCATCGTCGTAGTTGTAGCAGTATTGGAAGTAGTAGTAGTAGTAGTAGTAGTAGTAGTAGTAGTCGTAGTAGTAGTAGTAGTAGTAGTAGTAGTAGTAGTAGTAGTAGTAGTAGTAGTAGTAGTAGTAGTGGTAGTAGTAGTAGTAGTAGTAGTAGTAGTAGTAGTAGTAGTAGTAGTAGTAGTAGTAGTAGTAGTAGTAGTAGTAGTAGTAGTAGTAGTAGTAGTAGTAGTAGTAGTAGTAGTAGCGCCGTAAGTGAAGCAGCAGCAGAAGCAGGCAGCAAGTCGCCGAGACAGCAACAAAAGCAAGCAGGCACGGAGATGAGGGCGGGGCAGTGGGGGAGTTCTTTACATCTACATCTATATCTACACCTACATCTACATCGACACCTACATCTAGATCTAGACCTACATCTACATCTACACCTACAGCTACATCTACATATACACCTGCATCTACATCTACACCTACATCAACAGCGATATTCACATCTACATCTACATCTACACCTATATCTACACCTACATCTACATCTACATCTACACCTATATCCACATCTACACCTCCACCTACATCTACATCTACACTTTCGCATTGGTTTTGCTTTTTGCTTTGCATTGCCTTTGCTTTTGCTCTTGCCTTTGTTTTTGCCTTTGCCTTTGCCTTTGCTTTTGCTTTTGTTGTTGCTTTTGATTTGCTTTTATGTTTGCTTTTGCTTGGTTTTGCTTTTGCTTTGCCTGCGCACAGACACACACACACGCATGTTTCTGCACTCGCTCACCGGGTGTGCTTGAGAATGCTCCGGATCCGGCCTACACCGCACGACTTGGCATTGAGCAAGGTTGTGCAAAATTTGCTACACCGAACGTTCCTACGAAACTGTACAGCAGCAGCATTGCTTCCTACATGCACATATATTCGCATATCTAGAAAGACATGTAGGACATGCGATAATACGTCGGGTTTCATGTCTCTCGGCCGGTGCTATGCGCGAAACCTTCGTGAATCCTAAGGGCTCAAGCTGCCCCACTAAGGGCTCAAGATGGCCCACAGACGGACAACATGCATGGAACATACGTGCGCACACACATATAAGTACATACACATGTGTATATATATATATATAGCAGCAGCAATAGTGGATGTTGTGCTGCGCTATGCTATGCTATCCTATCCTATGCTCTGCTCTGCTCTGCTCTGCTCTGCTATGCTATGCTGCGCGATGCTATGCTGGGCTAGGCTAGGTTAGGCTATGCTATGCTATGCTGCGCTATGCTATGCTGCGCTATGCTATGCTATGCTATGCTATGTGTTTGCTGTGCCTTCGCTTTTGCCTTCACTTTTGCCTTTGCTTTTGCTTTTGCCTGGCACCCAGGAAGCGCAACTGGGGGAACCGCGCATTTGCTTTTACCGTTGCTGTTGCTTTTGCTTGGCTCTCAGAGGACCGGGGGAAGCGCCCGGGGCGATTTACTCTGCCCAGCCCTTTAAGCCAAGCGAGTAAGAACCCTTCTAGGCAGAGCCTAGGTAGGGAAAAACAAAAAACAGATTCCCACAATCCAGTCGAATAGTGTAGAGACGTGGCGATGCTCCCTTACATCACGTTTCTCCGGGCCGACTTGGACATCACAACTGTCTAATGGGAGCGCGCATTAATCGATTGGCAGAAGACATGGCGTGGAGGAGTGAAGAGCAAAGTGGTACAACATCTACTTGTCCGCCGACGGGGACGCCAGCCCGCACATACCCCCGCGTGCCGCCGTACGGATGCAAACTTTCCAGCCGCCTTTCGACACGCGTTCCTGGCGGCGGAGAAGCTGAATTGCCTCACACAGCTCCTCGTCTGCTGAGAGAAGAATAAGCAAGAAACAAATGTCATTGCACCGGCGTTGCAGACGTGCTGCAGCGGATTTCTGCGTGGATTTCTGCCCGAAGCGGCGCGTGAAAAACGAAGTTCATTTCGCGTGGATTTGTTATAGTCTTCATTCCTGGCCCCCAGAAAATCCACACGAAACCCGCCTCGAAATCCAGAACGAAACTCTCCAGGATAATCGGGCCCATCCCGTCGCTGTCCGAGCGAAATCCGCTCGGCGATGTTGGCGCCATGACAACGGGGTCCCCAGGGAAACAGGCTCTGGCTCTTGGGGCCCTCCCGCCGTGACCAAATCTTCGGGCGGCGTCGTTCTCCGACAGTCCACGGGGCCCGCAGAACGCCCCGAGCGAGGGAACACCGCGGGCCGCGTCTCCCTCGGGACCCGCTCCCCTGACCTCCGCCGCTGTGCTTTTGGCTCGATCTGCGGCCCCCGAGGTCCCGACCGCCTCCCCGAGGGTAGTGTTACGTCGGGCGTGTCCCCCTAATTACAAATAGATTTTGACCGACAAATGTAAAATACTCCAAAAAATACCTCCCACAAATTTCCCCAAATCGTCAAAACATCGTCCCCAGACTAGTTTTCTTTCCTATGTTTGAAAATTCCTCCTGTAGTGGGACAGGCCCGACTTAAGGGTAGTGTTTCGCCCCAGCTCCAAGTGTTCCTGGCCCCCGAGCCCGAACACCGCACCAGAGGGCCGAGATCGAGGGAAAAGCACGGCTTGAACAGAGGAGGGCGAGGAGGAGGCGGAGGAGGCGGAGGAGGACGAGGAGGAGGAGGAGGAGGAGGAGGAGGAGGAGGAGGAGGAGAACGAGGAGGAGGAGGAGGAGGACGAGGAGGAGGAAAGGGAGGAGGAGGACGAGGAGGAGGAGGAGGACGAGGAGGAGGACGAGGAGGACGAGGAGGAGGACGAGGAGGACGAGGAGGACGAGGAGGAGGGCTGCTCGATGGCGAAGAGGAGAGGATCCGAGCGCCGGCGCGCGATGGCCCCCCCCCCGCCTCACGCAGCCGCCGGGGGCGGCCCGCGGGGACGATCGCGGGCGGGCGGCGGGCGCCCAGAGCGCCCTCGCCGAGCGGCGCCCGGGGACGGCAGAGGGCAGCACCCGGATCGGCCTCTTCGAATCGAGATACAGCGGAACAAGAAGTGGCAGGAGGTGCTCGCGAAGAGGAGAGGATCCGAGCGCCGGCGCGCGATGGCCCCCCCCCCGCCTCACGCAGCCGCCGGGGGCGGCCCGCGGGGACCTTCTGCTGCGGCTTCTCCCCCATCGCGGGCGGGCGGCGGGCGCCCAGAGCGCCCTCGCCGAGCGGCGCCCGGGGACGCCCTCTCGCAGAGGGCAGCACCCGGATCGGCCTCTTCGAATCGAGATACAGCGGAACAAGAAGTGGCATAAACATAAAAACTCGGAGGTCCGCGCGGATTTCTCGGATCGGCGCTGGGGCCCCCCGGCGGCGCCTCCGGCGCCGCCCCTGGCGCGCTCCGCGCGCCAGGGAGGGGGGTCCAGCGCCGATCCGAGAAATCCGCGCGGACCTCCGAGTTTTTATGTTTATGTCACTTCTTGTTTCCCTCAAGATGCCGCGGAGTCGTGCCGCGTCGACCCCGGCGCTGGTTTCTGACGCTGCGGGAAGCGTTCAAGCTTGAGCGATCGGCAGTCTACCAAACGTCCAATCGTTCAACGTCGGCCGATTTGGGGTCGCCGGCGGCATTCAATACATTGAGCGCCCGCGCTGGGGTCGCCGCTGGTCGACACGGCGCGAACCTAACCGTACCGCGCTGCAGCAGAGCCTGGACGTGCACAGTCACTTTCGAGGGCTCCGGCTGCGGCTCCTCTCCCTTGCAGGCGGCGCGGGTGGCCTGGGGCACGGGCGGGAGACTGGCATCGGCACGGCCACCTCAGCGCCCGAGGGTGGCGCGGGAGGCGCGGGAAGGACCGCCTGCGCCTTCGGCGGCTGCGCAGCGGCCGCCTGCGGCTGCGCAGCGGCAGCCTGCGCCTTTGGCGGCTGCCTCGGGGGCGTCTTGGGGGCCGGGCCCGGGTTCTTCATGAGGATGGCGTCGGACGGGGGTCGGGCTGGCTCCTGCGGGCCAGGCAGCTTGGGTCGGGCCGCGTAGGGCGGGCTGTGGAAGGGTATGGTGATCTGCGGCATCTGCCGCGGCAGCTGCTGGCTGTGCGGGTGCGGCAGGACGAAGCTGACCGGCATGAGGGGGCCGCTCGGCAGCATGATGGGCCGCTTGGCCCACCCCGGCTTCTCCCCCTGGGCCTGCGGGGGGCCAGCAGGGCGAGGCGGAGGGGCCAGCTGACCCGCCGGGCCCTGGTCGCCGCCGAACTGCCCCGCGGGGCCCAGCGGCCCCGCCGCGGTGGCGGCAGCCTGCGCGGGCGGCGGCGGCGGGCCGCCGGGCGCCTCCGCTGCCGCTGCGGGGCCGGGCCCGTTGGCCTTCTGAATCAGCCACGCCGGCGGCGGCAGCTTCGGCGGCTGCGGCGTGGCCCGCGCGCCGGGCTCCTTGCCCAGTGCCGGCTTGGGCTGCGGCGTGGGCAGCTGCACCGGCTTGGGCTGGGCCGTGCTCGCGGGGGCGGGCCCCGCGCCGCCGGCCGCCGGCCCCACCTGGCGCGTCGCGTAGAAGTCGCCCATCGGGTCGGCGCCCTCGGCCGGGCGGGGCTGCCCCTGCGGGGGCTCCTCGGGGCCCTTCGGGCTCGCTGGCGCGGGGGCCCCGTCCTCACTGGGCGCTCGGGGCGGGCCCTCGCCGCGCCGCGCCTTCGGGCTCGTCGGCGCCCGAGGCGGCGCCGGCGGAGCGGCGGCGTCCACCGCGAGGACGCGCGCCGGCGCGGCGGGCGCCAGCACCGGCGGCCGCGGCTGGTTCCTCATCCGGGCCAGGGACAGGAAGAAGTGACGGGAGGTCGACTTGGCCACCGCGGCCGGCGCCAGCGACGGCTGCGACAGCCCCGGGGGCCCGAAGACGAAGGCCTTGGGCCACTGCGGGGCGCCGGGCAGGCCGCCCGCCGCCCGGAACGACGAGGCTGGGGCGAGCGCGGGCTGCTCCTGGGGCCTCTTCTTCTTCTTCGGCGGCGTCGTGGGCGCGCGCGGCCCCAGCGCGTCGAGCAGGCTGCCGGCGGGCATCTCGGCCACCGACGTCTCCTCGAGCGCCTTGGGAAGCGGGTCGCCCTTGGCGGCCTGCGACGCCGCGGGCCCTGACAGAAGAGGGGGGAAACATATAAGCTGTCTGAGGTCCGCGAGAACTTCTTGGATCTGCGCCGGACCCCCTTCCCTGTGGCGCGCGGAGCAGGGGCGGCGCCGGAGGCGCCGCCAGACGGGGGGGGCCCAGCGCCGATATCCGAGACATCCGTGCGCGGAGCTCCAGCAATTGATGTGCTTGCAGTTTTTGTTGCTTCAGACCCTTCGACCTGAGCCGCGCCCGCCCAACGGCACCGCGGGGCGAGGCGGCAGCCGGCTGGCCACGCTGGGTGCCTTCTTCGGGTCCGCGGGCGCCGCCTCGTCGGCGGCTGCGGGGGGCTCGGCCGCGGTGGCCGCGGCCGCGGGGGCGCCCGCCTGCTTCTGGAGGTCCGGGCGGCCCTCCGGGCCCAGCGCCTCGTCTTGGAGCCGGCTGGTGGTTACGGGGTGGCCCAGCACTGGTTCCCGCCAGCAGCCAGGGGGGCAAGGCTCGAGGCTCTGGGTTCAGAGGAGGTGTTTTGCCTTGTTCGGCCTCAGGGGGCCGTGTTCGGGGTTCGGGTTCAGGGACCAGTAGAGGCGGATCCGGGGTGAAACACTATACACCACATGGACCCCGGGAGGGGTGCGGGGAACACTTTTGAGCGGATTTGGCATATCCCCCTTCTTGACATATTTTCTCGGGGCCCAGTTCAGACGCCCTGGCCCCCTCCAAGCCTCGTCGAGCTTGTCGTCGGGGTAGAGCGGGATGCGCCACTGGGTCTCCTTCTTGGGGTCGCCCTGCTGGTAGAAGAACTGCAGCCCCGTGCTGGACACGCCCACCTGTATATGTATGTGTGTATGTATGTATGTATGTATGTATGTATGCATGCATGCATGCATGCATGCATGCATGTATGTATGTATGTATGTATGTAAGTATGTTTGCATGTGTGTGTACGTATATGTATATGTATATATATATATATATATATATATCCGTATATGTTTTTCATATACATTTGTACACATATTCTTTTTTGTGTACACACGCACACTAGAACCATCGCGCGCTTGGAGCGCGCTCAAGTTCTAGCTAGGCTTGATCGGCGAACTCATGTAATATCATGTTGGTCGCTTCTTGCGTCCAGGGACTCCCTTGGAGGCCCTGCGCAAGCCTCGGAATCGCATGGAAGGGGAAGCGCGTAAACGCAGAAATCATTAATTTTCTTGCACAGGGTGTCTAAAGCTCCGACCACTTTATTCCGCGTCGCCCCCCCCCCCCCCCCCCCGCGCCGTGGCTCTCTGCCCCCCGGGCCCCCCTCGCGTCCTCAGCGCCAGAGTGGGACCCCCGCGCCGTGGCTCTCTGCCCCGAGCCCCCCTCGCGTCCCCAGAGCCCCAGCGCGAGCCCCGCCCACTGCTCCCTCCGCCACGAACGCTGTATTCCGCGTCGCCCCCCACCCCCCACCCCCCCCCCCCGCGTCCCCAGCGCCAGAGTGGGACCCCCGCGCCGTGGCTCTCTGCCCCGAGCCCCCCGCGTCCCCAGCGCTCCAGCGGGAGCCCGCCCAACGCCCCTTCCGCCACGAACGCCGCATTCCGCGTCGCACCTCTCCACCCCGCGTCCCCAGCGCCACCCCAACGCCAGAGTGGGACCCCCGCGCCGTGGCTCTCTGCCCCGAGCCCCCCCCCCCGCGTCCCCAGCGCCCCAGCGGGAGCCCCGCCCACTGCCCCCTCCGCCACGAACGCTTTATTCCGCGTCGCACCCACCCCTTCCGCGTCCCCAGCGCCAGAGTGGGACCCCCGCGCCGTGGCTCTCTGCCCGGCCCCCCCGCATCCCCAGCGCCCCAGCGGGAGCCCCGCCCACTGCCCCCTCCGCCACGAACGCTTTATTCCGCGTCGCACCCCCCCCCCGCGTCCCCAGCGCCAGAGTGGGACCCCCGCGCCGTGGCTCTCTGCCCCGAGCCCCCCCGCGTCCCCAGCGCCCCAGCGGGAGCCCCGCCCACTGCCCCCTCCGCCACGAACGCTTTATTCCGCGTCGCGACGCACACCACCTCCCCCACCTCCCCGCGTGCCCAGCGCCCCAGTGGAGGCTCCGCCCCGTGCCCCGACAATTTTGTTCCGCGTCGCAACGCACACCATATCCCCCCCCCCGTCCCCAGCGCTCCAATTAGACCCCCGCCCCGTGGCCCTCTCCCCCAAGCCCCGCCCAGTGCCCCCTCTGCCCCGACCATTTCATTCCGCGTCGCGACGCACACCACCTCCCCCACCCAGCCCAGTCACCCCGAGCCCCCCCGCGTCCCCAGCGCTCCAGTAGGAACCCCGCCCACAGCCCCCTCCGCCACGAACGTTTTGTTCCGCGTCGCACGGCCCCCCCACCGCCCGCCTCCACGATCGTTCTGCCCCCCCGCCGCCCAGTGCACCCCGCCCCCCCCCCCGCTCCGACCATTTTATTTCTGCGACGCACCACCCCTGCCGTCCCGCCCCCCCGCTTCTTCGATTTCTCGTCCCCTCTCTCCCCCCTTTCTTTCCTCCTCCTCCTCCTTCTCCTCTTATTCTTCCTCCTCCTCTTCCTCCTCCTACTCTTCCTCTTCCTTTTCCTCCTCCTCCTCTTCCTCCTTCCCCCTCCGTTTTGTGCAAGAGGCACGCGTGCCACTTGTTTCTTATAGGTATTCCACAATTTGGGACCCTCACCTGGGCTCTTTGTTGGGAGGCGGGGGGGGGTCTGAATTATGGTTTCTTGTAGAAGAGTAGACCAGGGACCAGACTTGTGTGATTCCCATGTTTTTCCAATTCCTCGGCGCTGTTCGGCGCTGTTCTTTGTTTGTGCCTCGCGGGTTTTGTTAGCCGGGCCCCTCAGGCGTGTAGGATCTTCCGGACCCCCTGAGGGTTCTGGAGGCCTCCTGGAGGCCTGGAGAGCCGTCGGAAGGGTGTCACGGGCTGCGCGGGAGCGTTTTGGGCCGTTCTTGGGCGTCTTGGGGTCCCCCCGGGAAGCCAGGAGGCGCGGTACAGGCCAGATGTCTGGGGATGTGTGGGATCTCCGAGTAGGAGAGAGTAGGAGAGAACGCGTTTTACGGGCGCTTGCCCGGGGAACATTCGGCGGCGCGTTTCGAACCGGGGAGTAGGCCCCCCCCAAGACTCGGCGCCGTCGATCAAAACCAAGGGGACTCCCCTCCCCCCCCCCCCTCCCGAACCCCCCCCTCTCGGCGCCGGCGCCGGCGCTGGCGGCCGCCAGCAGCGCCCACGGCGGGGACGCAGCGACGATGACCAGAGGCAGCCCAGGGGGGGGGTCCCCCCCCCCGCGCCGGCGCCGGCGCTGGCGGCGGCCAGCAGCGCCAGCGCTGGCGCGGCGACGGCGGGGACGCAGCGACGATCACCACCACTACCACCACCACCACCACTACCACCACCACCGCCTCAACCCACCACCACCACCACCACCAACAACACAACAACAGCCACCACACAACCACCACCACCACCACAGCCACCACCACCACCACCACCACAACTCACCATCACCACCACCACCACAAAAAACCCACCAAACTACCACCACCACCACCACCTACCACACCACCACCACCACCACCGCCACCACCACCACCACCACCACCACAAACCACCACCACACCACCACCACCGCCGCCACCACCACCACCACCACCACAACTACGTCCACAAACCACCGCCACCACCACAACCCACCACCACCACCACCACAAACCCCCACCATACCACCACAACCACCACCACCACAACTCACCACCACCACCACCACCACAAAAAAACACCACCACTACCACCACCACCACCACAATCTACCACACCACCACCACCACCACCGCACAACCACCACCACTACCAGCAGCACAACCCACCACCACCACACAAACCACCACACCACCACCACCACCGCCACCACCACCACCAGCACCACCTCCACAAACACCGCCACAACCACAACCCACCACCACCACCACCACCACCACACCACCACCAACCACACCACCACCACCACCAACCCACCACCACCACCACCACCACAACCCCACCACACCACCACCACCACCACCACCACCACCCACCACCACCCACCACTACCGTCGTCCTCGTCGACGCTCCCCGCCACCGCCGCCCGCCGCCGCAGGCGCCGGCGCCGGCCCAGAAATAGAAATCGTCATCCCCGCCGCCGTCGCCGGCCGCCGCCGACGCAAGCGCCGGCCCGAGGAGAGGGGAAGCAGGGGGGCGAGGGGGGGGGAGGGTTCGAACCCTCCCCCCGTCACGGGAGGAGGGGGGGGGGTCGAAACCTCGCCCCCCCATCCATGCAGGGGGGAGGAGGGGTGGGTCCAGTTTCAACCCCCCCCGCTCCAAGCGACCACAGAACGCGCTCTTTCCCGAGTAGGAGTCCCACTTTGGAAAAAAGGGAATTCTAGGAATTCTTTTATTCTTTCAAATCCTTGATCTTTGAGGGTTGTAAGCGGGAAAACGTGAGAAGGCAGAAAAAATAGGAAAAACCATTGGAAATCAACGATTTTACCCTTTTTGGGCTCTCTCGGGACGGCTCTCGCAGCTCTCTTGGGCCGTTCTTGGAGCCTCGTCGGGGTCATTTTGGTGCCTCTCAAATATCGGAGGTGTCTTGGGGGCCTTTCGGAGGTCTCTGGAAGCCTCCTGCTCCCGCTCTTGGGCCCATCTTGGGCCTGTTCTGGGGTGGTCTGGGGTTGTCCTGGGCGCCTCTTCGGCAACCTTGGAGCCTTCTTGGCCCGTCTTGGGGCCGTCCTGAGGGTCTCTTGGGTGGTCTTGTGGCGGTCTTGGGAGCCTTTTCGGCGCTCTTGGACCATTGGAAGCTCGAAAACGCGAGAAGCCAAAAACATTGAAAAAGCAAATGAAAATCTACAATTATGGCCTCGTCGGGCCGTCCCGGGACGCCTCTCGGACCTCTCTTGGGGTCTCTTGGAGGCCACCTGGGAGCCCGCGTGCTTGACCTGGCCGCCTGGGCCCGCCTTCCCGACCCGCCCGTTAGGGTCTGCCAGCCCGACCGGCCTGTCTGGTTCTGCCACGTGTTTTCTGCTCCTAGCCCCCCTCCTGCAAATTTCTATCATGCTCTATGTTTCCCCCTCCCCCATTCCATCCGTCCTCTATTCCCCTGTTTTAGTTGCTGCGCTACATGCACGCGGCAGGTAAGGAACATGTGCCTTCAAGGGGGCACGTTCGAAGACGAAGAGGGCGGATACCGAGGGTTTGAGATATCCGTGTTAAGTGGCACGCGGGCAGATCGAAGCGAACAGTCTTAAACTGAATGTTGTTGTTTTTGCAGCTGCTGCTGCTGTAGGTGTTGACTTCTCTTT